ACACTGATTCATTTGTTACTGTTTGCTTTTTTATTTATTTAGAAATGGTAAATGCCAATGACATTGACTTTATTACAGAAGAAGCTAGTTAGGTGTGTTTTCAAAAGCATGTGAATAGTGTTTGCACATTGCTATCTCTCTTTCATTGCTTTCACTTTGAGTGCTACATTTTTAATTATTGTTATAAAAAAAACATGGAGTGAGTGCCTTAAATGCATATCATAATAGTACTCACACTGTGCATGCCTAACCTCTGTGGCGATAACCGCTACATGCAAAAGTATGTATTCACCAATGCATTTGACACATATTAAAAAGCGAATGAAGATTATCGTCCAGATTTCCAAAGATGACTCATCATCTCCGTCAGATTGCTGTCATTATTTGATAGACATCCTAAATCCAAATCACAAAAGCAAACTGTAAAATTTTTAATAATCCCAATATAAGTGTGACATATATAATGTAATATATACAGTACATAAAGGACAATTATTATTGCATTTCTCGCTGAGTTAGATAAAAAGATGGATACCACTTTCATTTCTGTACGGTAAATATTAGGTCAACAGGTGGTTAGCTTGGCTTAGCACAAAGACTGAAATCGGGGGAAAGAAAGAAAATCCCCCCACAAGCACCTCTAAAGCTCAATAAATGACGTTATAGTAAACAGTAAAAACAGCAGTTGCATGGGACTATTTCATGGCTGGGAGCAACAACTTCCTAACTTACTAGAGTGTTATTTCCAAAAGCATTTTATTTATGTGGTGAGATGCACTTAGCTTTCCCATTTGTATGATGTGTCCAGTCACTGTTTATGTGTTTCTCAACACAGAGATGTGTGTTACACTGCCACATTCAAATATCACACACCGACTGAATGAGCCTCTCCCTGGATTCTTTCCTTTCCCTCCTTTTATCCCCCCGACAGCGCTCAGAGCAGTGCAGCACAGGCTCACGCTCCTATCTCATGTCTCAGAGAATGATATTCAGTTTACTGAGATATCTCTGTTACACAGCCGCCATCGTCAGAGTGGACTTATTGCAGAAATAGACGCATCCTGCCCTCGCCCACCCTCCAAACACATCCATCCGGCACCACAATCACACTTTAGTATGAAGCAACAGCTGACACCAAATAGATGCAGCTAGCAGCAGCTAGTTATTGTGGAGTGTAGCTGTGAGATAGAGGTCACTGTTGCCACAGGGTTGAGAGATGGAGGGAAAAGAAATGTTCTGACAGTAAATTACATGCCGGATTCACATATTCCATCAGAGGCCTCCACATGAGACGGATGTCATATATCACCAATATGGCTTATTAACCCTTTGACCCACATAAATGAAATGCATCAAAGCGCACCATTCAGCATGAACCATCTATATCATGTTTTATTTGTGCTGTCTTATTTGATATAGTGTGTTTACACATAGTATACTGATGTTGCACATTATTTGCAATTTTACGTCTTCTTACAGTGCATTGATCCCACGCATTATGCATCAGCGTGCAAGTATCTCAGACATTGAATATCGTTTTTAATCCTCACTGCCCATTATCTAAATGTTTTTATTCATCAATCTGAGGATTTTATTTAAAAACAGGTGTTTCCTCTGATGGACATTTAGTCTGGTGAAAGAATGTCTAAAGAGCCGGAAAATAAATTCACCTCTTATTGCTTCCTATTTATGTGGAGGTGGCTCGATCTTTTTTTTTAAGGATTTGCAGCTTCTAAAAAAAGAGGGCCTGTGAAGGTGAGGTCCTTCACAGGGCAGGCTGCCAAGTAATAACTTCTCTAATCGCTTATGCCTCATGCCCATATTTCTACAAAAAAAAAAAAAAACACTACAAAGAGAGCAAGTCACCCTTATTTGGAATAAGTGCAGGAGACAGCTGCTATACAGTATCATCACCTCATTAACCCTTCATCTGGATAACAGCAAATTAGAAGTTTTTACACGCTCTCGACCCTCCTTTTCCTCCTTTTGTCTCTGTTTCCCTCTGACCACGACCCTGTCTCTCTCTCCGGCTGTCTCTCCTTGTCCCTTGGCACAAAATAAAAGTAAATTGCTTATCTTTGACATAACAGGACTGTTTTTACTCATGAAAGACATCGCACAAATGTCATCCAGGTCAACGGCTCCCGCTGGTAATCAAGCTGGGACAGTGATTAGGTGAAATTAATCGCAGGCCTCTGTCGCTCATGGCTGACAGCCTGGGAGCCTGATAGGTGTTCTCCTCCCAGGTGACTTCAGCACATCAGGCAGAGAGAGTGAAAGACATCAAAGCTGAGAAAAAACTGAAAAGAACTCGCATTAGATCAACACCCGAGAGACAGCCCTAAAAACGGGGTGTGTGGGTCTGTACAAGGATGTTGGTGTGTGTGTGTGTGTGTATGTGTGGGTGGCTGGGTGTGGGTAGGTGGAGTGAGGTAATGTGTGTGAGTTTTCGTGCAGGTGTCTGCTTTTTTGGTGGGGCGGGGGTTGGGGGACATGAAAGGAAGGAGCTAAGGTTTGATGTGATAATGAAGCACCTTCTTTAATCTTCATCTTCTCTATTATCCACACCACTCACTTGTGCCTATTTGTCCAACAAATGTTTTGGTAGGCCTATAAGGTAGAAATCTGCTTTCTGCTATTCAACATCTTCAGGTTTTTGTCACTTGAGAGCATAAAAAGATTGGTAAGGAATCTTATACCCTTTTTGTTTCTGCTTGTCTTGTGAGACCTCCTCCGACTCGCACGCATAATGCGTCTGGCGTTCGCACATTTGTTTCACGCTGCCCCACCCCCGTGTCTTAATATCAGACAAACCCAGAGCTTTGAGACTTGTCATGGTCGGTGGGAGTGAGAGGGAGTGATGCTAAGGTTAGCTCGCTGGAGCGTTTAGCTGTACATGGGCAGATTTACCGGCCTGTGAACCCATAAACCTGCAATTACAAACCCTAACAACTCTGGCGCAGGCAGCCTGTACACCGCAGTTTTCCTCTGGGCTCGGGGATTTAAGCTTCACAATCAGTCAAGCGTGACTTCAGAAGCTAATTGCACAAGAGTGACACGCACTCACACACAACACACACACACACAACATCCTTACGGGAGAAAGACTGATGGTGGAGGTGGAATTTTGTTTGAAATTCATCAAATTTTAATCCAGTGCGTACATTTCCATATTTCCATATTTATCTCTTTGCGCTCCTAGCATACACTTCTTCTCTGCATATCATTTCGGCCCTATTAATAGCTCAAACCGATGCACAAACATACAGAAACACACCCTCGCACTCTTGTCACCACAAGGAAAAAAAAAAAGAGACAACCTCCTATCAGGTCTGACGTTCAAAGACACGTGTATCCCAAGGTAGATAGGGCTGTCAATGAATCACTCCATTTCTGCCACAGTTGGTAAATTGACTGTTTGAAGCAGGGAAACAGATGAGAGGGAAGCCGGGTAGAGTCACAGATAAGATGTAGGATTCATACTCTCCCCCTCCTCTCTGTAATGAATCAGTGTATTTACTTAGAGCAATCTGCTCCTCTAAAATGGCACCGCAATCGCTCTGTCTTCTCCGGAGCGTTGTCACCCCCCTCCCCTGTTTTTGCCCAACTCCCTAAAGGTAATTGCTCTTACCTGAGACACTGTAATGGATCCTGGATGAAGTATTGACCGCTGCTAGATTTTGATTAAGGGGCTGTAGGGCAGAACATGTCTTTAATGAAACTGAGGAATCAGCATTCTCTGGCTGGTGCATCGAGGCTGGATGCTGTGCACTGTGGCCCACAGGCGCCTTGATTAGGGCCTGATCCTCAGCAAATCCAGGGGTGGGCCACCGCTACTGAATTAAAAGCGATGAATTCATCCATTAATAATACCTAAGGCGTGTGTAGTTTTTCTCGGGAGGCTTATAATCGTTAAAGATTTGGGTATTCATTTACTGTAAGCTGCTTGCACTCTCTCACACACACATATTCACACATATTCACACACCAGCTCTCTCGATCACTCAATCATCCACCTTGTTGCTCACTCACTGATACGCTAATTCACTCATTAATACACTCAATCACTTCCCACTTTATATGCAAAAGGTCAGCCTCTATCAGTTAGAATTTTAGCATGAGGGATAACTTGCTTCTCTCATCCTCTCACTTAAAATTGCCTTTTTGCTCATGTTAAAAACTGATTGCATCTCGGATGGAGATGAAAGGGAAACAGCTAGCTCCCCACGTTCTTTGAGCGTGCAAATGGACATAATCTAAAGGGCGAGTATTAGCATGCTAAAAGACACCACAGCTATGATGAACACCATTTGCCAAGGCTTAATGCGATAGCCGGGTAAGATGATTAACTTTGAATCCATTTAATCAACCACAAGCGCTTTCTCAAACAACCAACCGTCTAGCGCTGGGGTAAAACTTTCCTCAGATCTGCTGGGAAAATGGGGTAGAGTAACAGATGTGTCAAATCACAGAATGCCTAAATCGGAGCTGAGGCCAGCCAAACATTATTCTTTGAAGTGACGGACATCAAACATCATTTTGTGCACAGTATTTGTCATCCCTGCTCATGTTTGAAGCTCTCAATGGAGTGCGACTTGGAACACATAGCGGCTCGCTCATTGACTGGGAAGTCAATGTGCCCTTGGGCTGCATCCTATTGACTTAAGTAGTTCAAGTAGAGGGCTTCTCACCTCCTTTCACAGATCGACCCCTGTGTGTAATGCTGATAACTGGCTCTCCTAATGCAATGAGAATTCTGACCCTTTCGGTCAGATCTTTAACCACAGTGAAGACACACGGATCGTGGGAGATTGTGTTTGTGTTTACTGATGATATAAAGATTTTACTTCTGCTTTGTGTTCTGCTACCACAGCTAGGCAAATATATATTTATGCTTGAAATGTGGCCTATGGTGATTGATTGATCCAATCAATTGAACAACTCATGGAAAAGTGTTTATTGATAATTTTTCTCCTCTCCGTTTGTGCTCCCTCTTGCAGACCTTGATGACCCAGTGGTAACCGTGCATCAGAGTATAGGAGAAGCTAAGGAACAGTTCTACTATGAGAGGACTGTGTTTCTGCGCTGTGTGGCCAATTCCAACCCACCCGTCCGCTACAGCTGGCATCGTGGCAGAGAGGTCCTGACGCAGGGCTCCGACAAGGGAGTGGAGATCTATGAGCCGTTTTTCACTCAGGTAAGACAGAGGCAACGTGATATGGATGAAAGCGTCAAATCAGAGAGAATAGTACATACAAAGAAAGGTGTATTGTTTTATTCATTGTAAAAGGCTTATAGCTGTTGCCAGTTGAATATGAAAGTTGAGTAGTTTTTGGAGTGTTTTAATGGTGCTCTGTGCTGGCTGTCATAAAGACGTTTTGCCCTCCCTCTGCTCACTACAAAGGAAGGATAAAAAGGCTGATAGAGGATAGAGATGCAACGGTCATAATAAGCTTTTGAAGGCAAAGCTACATTTGCTCTTTCAGACCACGTGCTCTCATATTAAGAGATGCTCTCGTGACCAGTTGCATCTGTGGCACCCTTCTGTGTGTAACCAAAATAAGTGGGAAAAGCTAATGTTGTTGTTGCAACTAGATTGAAGCAGCAGAGCAGGTTTGGAATTTATTAACATGATCAAATTCTTATGACACAGTGCTCTCTCACCATGAGACGCTGTGTGTATTACAGTGTTTGCTTGCAACTATGATTGCTAAGTTCTGTGTGTAAAAAACGTTGTGTTGTGTTTTTGCTAATTAATGTTTCAGTTGTAATCTTGAAACAAAAGATCTCTCTCTTTGACAGTGATGGCCATATTGTTATTACTAGTAATAGAAATTCTAATGCATTTAAAGCGCAACACATTGAGGGTCATGTTCTACATATACTGTAGGGCCTTAAATAGACACTAGTACAAGTATGTAAATAATGACCTTCATCAACCTCTTCTGACAATGAGTAAGAAGTGCAACAAAACGCCGTCACAACACTATTCCTGCATTTTTACAGCAGAGATGAGTAAGCCACAGTAGCTAATTAATGAATCAACACAACATCTTGTTACAAAGGTGACATATTGCAACATGAAATACTGTAATAATAGTGTTGCTATTTTATTTGCCATTGCCATACCATTTGGAATGTGTCTTGTTTTTATTTGGTTTCACATCTTCACCCCAAACCCTAACACCACCCATTTCTGTGCTATGGGATAGTAAAAGTTGTACTCATTAACCCCATGAATAGCAATATCAGTTTCACTAACCCAGTTTCACATAGTTACATACATATTGAGAAATTGCAGACACAGAAAGATTGGATTCTCTTCTGAATCAGTTGGATTTTCTTTACAATTTGAAAATTGAGAATCTTTTGTTCTAAAGAGGATCTTGTGCGGTTGACAAAGACTTGACTGAGATTGTTCTGTCACTAGTAAGGGAATTGTAGTTTTTTGAAACGCTGAATGCGATTTATGTTGAATTGAGCGACCAAGGTATTGGAAATCTAAGAGACAGAGAAAAGACATCCGAGAGAAGAAAAAGAGGCTTAAGAAACAGAGAGGGAGGAAAAAGGAAGTGAAATTGATGTTTGGCCAAATGAAAAAAGATGGCTGGGAACTAATGGAGTGGGTGAAGGAGGCTGAAGAAGCTGCACAACTGGGCCTCATCAGACACTCGTCCCTTCTCCATCCTGCTCTTCATACCTCTTTTCTCCTTCCCTCGCTCCTTCATCCTGCCCTCTATTAAAGCTTTAATTGGGTCTGGGAATTTGAGCGCAACCCAAACCCAGAGATTAGCTTTGTGTGAGTTCAACCCCAAATAAATCCTTACTAAACTCCTAGTAATTTGCTCATATAAATGGCTAATAACATTATTTTTCAACAATATGTCTGAACTTGCCTGAAACATACTCAGACAATTGAGTTACAAATTCGTAACTGACCGAAATTGAGCCTAGAGGCTTGAGTTGAGTCCATTAGAATGCAGCCAGGCCTCCATTTTGGCTAGGTAGATTTGTGAATTAAGTTCGTCTCTTTACCTTTCTCCCTCCATTATTCTTCATTCCAGCTCCATTCCCTTGCACCTTTTCAACCTACCAAATGTTTTTTTATATCCCCACTGATACTGTAGAAATGCAGTGGTGGCATTTCAAACTCTGTACGGAGAACAGGTTCATAATTAAGTGAGGCGTGCTTTTATTGTAGAAACCCTGTCCTTTCCGCTGTCTGTTACTTTCTCCACCTCTCGCTCCATAATTTCCCCCACAAAGTGCCAGAGAATGGCACAATTATCGAAGGTATAATGGAGCCATTGCTCATCTCTCGTCAGATTCCCACCTCTTTATAGTAGTCAATATGTTTTGATGTTTATGATGTTTCCTTGCGGTGTGCTGTCCTGTTTGAGCATGTTGTCTAGATGTTGAGAAAATAACCATTTAAATACCCAGCTAGTAACATATTGCTCATCACCCAGCTGAGGCACACATCACATTTTTGTCAATTATGGTATTTTTTATATTTTTTTGCTAGACTTATTTTATTGGCCCTCGTGTAGTCAACATCTTTCCTGCTGCTTGCATGAAAAATGCCCTCATTTTCATCTTTATCACCATGCATTTTGAGTTTATGAAGCTGGTTTTGCTTTTTGTGTTACCAAAGACAAAACTGAAAAAATATAAGTTTTACCTGACAGGGACAATACCCTCCTCCAAAATTTCTTTGCCCTTTACTGACGCCCATAAGTCCCATTCCTGATGCTCTTGTGTACTTTAGCGTTCAATCTTTCCATCAATATGGCCATCAATCCCCCAGTCCAATTCGGTTTAATGCGTTTGTCCTTTCCATTCCTTTCTCTGCCCCTTGCATTTTCTAAATAGATTTTCCTTCCAATCTGCCCCCCCCCCTCCCCCGCTGTGAGTAAAGCTTGCGCTCTGAATAACACGGACCTCATCTCCTGATATCTGCAAAGAAGCAGAGGAGGTGACAGAGAAAGACAGGAAGTTGAGTGTGGGCTCCATGGCTAATCTAATACAATTAGGTTATCCATGAGCCTCATTGGGTATAGGGTATGAAAGGGTTTGAAAGACGTGAGTGATCGCCATATTGTGTGGACTGCCGCAGCGTGTGGCTGACTCATGTTTTAATCTGCCGTCTCCCCCTCCAACCCAACACCCACACACTGGAGTCAGCCAGATCAAAGGTTCACATCCTCATCAAAGCCTTCTGGGCGGGGCTCACGGTTGACAGGCCAGGCTAGAATCAAACGCGTATTCTTAGTGAGATAGCCGTTTCTGTGGAGAGATCCCCTACTGAGTCCATCCATATTTCTGTAGCTGAATGGTGGAAATAGTGCCGGCCCATTGACTGGAAAGTAATCCACTTGGTATTGAGCAAGCTGACACATTAATTTCCTTGAAAAATAACTGCATCATTTTTTGTAGTGATTTTACACTTTTCTTGAACCACTACCTTTTCTTTTTATTTTTGTCTTTGATGAAACTGTATACATATTCATCTCTTTGACCTTTCTTTGGAGCTGTGTGGCCTTTGTCATCTCCTGCCCAGTACCTAGTTTTTCTGCATTTCTTTTACTTGATTATGTTGATACTTTTGCACACATTTGCATACCAGTGTTGGTTTGGTCTGAGCTGCAGGGGGAAACGAAGATTTTGAAGCTGAAGAACCTGCGCCCTCAAGACTACGCCAACTATAGCTGCATCGCCTCCGTCAGAAATGTGTGTGGGATCCCTGACCGCAGTGTTATCTTCAGACTTACAAATAAGACAGGTAATATAAGCCTATTGACTTTTCTGTAAGATTAACAGTATACAAAAACATTTTTTTTGCAGTAATCCATAAAGGTGTCTTAATAAATGCAGGATAGACATGGAGAAAAATAGTGTGTGCAGTATCTCAACTGACATATACTGTAACTGTCAAAACTGCCAAAGTTGTCCATCTTCTGCCAATCCTTCTCTACACGCTCTTCCTCCACAGCCTCCCCGTCCATCAAGCTGCTGGTGGAGGATCCAATCGTGGTGAATCCGGGCCAGACGGTATCCTTGGTGTGCATCACCACAGGAGGCGAGCCACCCCCCACTCTCACCTGGGTCAGCAGCAATGACAGCCTGCCGCAAAGGAGCGTGGTGAAGGGGGGCACGCTCACACTTCCAGCCATCAGCTCAGATGAGGCGGGGGTATACAGCTGCGTGGCCAGCAACAACGTGGGAAACCCGGCCAAGAAGTCCACCACCATTGTGGTGCGAGGTGAGAAGCCATGACTGCATGACTCAATGTATGGGACCCTATAGTATTACATAAATGAAAGATACATTATGAAATAAATAATCATATGAATAAAAAGAATAAGTATGAAGTAACATAACATATTATTATAACTAATAACACATTATTCTGAGTTCATTTTTATTTCAAAATGACACTTTATTCTATACAATACTATATTATTATATAATATATAATGTCACTTCATGACAGTGGTAATGTCACCAATGCCTGCTCCATCACTTTAACAAGCTCAGCAGCTGTCAGCTAACTAGCTAGCTCCTGTTAGCTGCAGCAGCCAAAGAGGAAGACTCTTCGCTTCTTTTGCACTTCACAATGCTGCAGAGATAAATCTGTATTAACCACCTAGCGGCTGCTAACATTGACTCTTTGACTCACTTTGATGCTGAGTAATAATGAATGTTCACATGCCAACCTTAGCTGCTAGTTAGCCGTAAAAGCAGTAACTACTTTCTGTATGATGTTTTTATGTACAGCAGCAGATTCTAGTTAGTATATAGCAAGAGGCTCAGGGTGTATGATCTGGGATGTGACTGGTGACTTATTATAAAATGTCACATGAAATAGAAGTGTGATTGGGAAAAATTGAAATACATTTTTCTATAATTAAATAAAAATAAATTAAACCCTGTTTCTATGAAAATAGGAAGAATAAAATAACATTGTATTTGTTTTAATAATTTTGTAAATTATTGATTCATCAATATATTTTACTCTATTTATCAAAATGATTATTCATTTCATGCCTTGTCTTGTCCGAGAACACTAAAGTAACTTAATTTCTAGTTTACTTTATTTCTTTTAATTAAACATTGCAACCACATTGCAATGCATTTATTTATATACATTCATATTTAGGCAAATAGAGTGGGAGCAGTAATTAAAATACACTGATTCAATGAATGGTTTACACCAATTTATCAAGAGCAGTAGGGCAAGGGTCATTGCTGCCTGTTTGGCCAATTATCAGGGAAATTATTTTTTCCAAGCTGCTCTTCACCTGAGTGGCACAGGAGGCAGAAGAGCATCTGATCTTGCAGTAGCTCATTACAGAAATAACCATTATCAAAGTACCTGTTTTTGCATACTTGTCATATTGACAGTTCTCTAACAAAGTAGATGCACGGAAGGTGAAGTACGCTTATCATTATGCATGTGATACTGTACGTACAATAAAATGCTTTTAAGGTTATTACTCAGCCGGCAATTTTACCATCTGCAAAGAAAAGCCATTTTAATATAAGACCTGCACAGATGCGACATGATGCATTTTTGCACACTTAAATGGACTGCTATTACTAAGCTCGAGGATTAAGTGTGGTGTGTGACTAGGCTTTCATCTGTGACATAGCAGGATCCCGACGCCCTCAGTGTGAAACTGCAGGAGCTTCTTGCAGGTGAATAAGAAGATGCATTAATGAGTGGAAGCCTCACAAACAAAACAGCATTCATGGGACGATCCAAATGTCATTTTTAACCTTTCAGAAAACATTACACACGCACAAATAGGATACATTTGAATGCGAGTTTAGCAGATTGGCTCAGAAAGTTTCTCACAGAGTTTTCTCCTGTCATCTCAGAGATTATGCCACAGCTCCATCATCAGGTCGCCTCTGTGCTCAGCCTGTTAGGAAGCATTTATTTATGCAGCCATATGCTCCCTGGGATGAAAATCAAATCATCAACAAATCATTTCTGATGGCCCCCCTGACAGATAAACCCCCTCTCTGTATTGTGAAAGTGCCCATATAGTTGAGGACTTCAGAATCGAGAGGCTTACATCAAAGAGAAGGTGTCAGGTGTCACATGGCAGAAAAATAAGTCAGGGCGCTCTCAATGCAGGCAGTCGCTGCAATAAATATCACGCTCTCATTGATGTGTCATACATCTGGAGCTGACAATGGTTCTTATATAAGATGGTAAAATATCATCAAAACAATTCACCACCTTCCTTAGATATCTATGAATACACACACACACACACACACACTGATGTGTCACATTTAAGGCTGCAGGGCATTGTCTGTACTTGTTAAAAGTTAAACAGGACAGATATGTATTATTCTGCTTGACTAAATGTCATGCAGGATCCATAGCCATTGATTTGTTAGGCAGTGCTGGGCTTTATGAAAAAACAAGAATTCCATTCAGTTGCAGGCTGCTACCATCTGACTCCATCAATCTGGAAAAGAAAGGCCTATACAACATATTGGTTCCTTAAAGCTGCCTTAATTGTTTAACTGTTAACTCTTTAAAAATCATATGTGTAAGGATCTGTTGGTTTAGTTTCTGCGTATAAAGCAGCGTATAAATAGTTAGTAGTTAGTAGTCACTTAAAAACAGTGTGAGGGGTATAAATGACAGAAAAAACTTTTTTTGATCAACATACTTATATGACATATTAATTTAGCTTGGACATTGAAAGATATTGATTATCAAAGTAAAGCCAATTACAAAGAAAGAAGCATGACAACACCATTTGATGGGAAAACCAACAAAACATCACTGTTGTCAAAATTAATTAGGGCTGAGGGCTATAGATGATATATAAGCTATAAAAACCAAAACCATTACAGGTTTTTTTGTTTATTTAATTCTGGGACAGACTTCAGAACGTTATCACACATCTCAGCATGGCATCAGGCTCACTCTCCTGAGTCTGATGAGCTGTCACTGACGCAAATACAATTCTGAGATCAGCATGCACCAGGTGACAAGGTATAATAGACTACATTGTTTAGAAATATATCATGGGTTTCATCTGTTTCTTAATAACTGCATATTAAGTAATGCAGCAGCCCCAAAAAGTAGAGTGAAATAATGGAGACACACTCAACATACTCATAGTCATGGACTTGCTTACATGTCAACACAAATAGTCCACATATTATTTGTATTCAGCTCGGCAACCGGCTTTTCGAATCCAAACTATGTCCAAGGTACACCCCTTATTAGAACAAATACATTTCCACCGTTTGCAACATGTATGCTGTTAGATGTTTGAATTTAGAAACAAAGATATGTTTTTCTTGTTTGATTTTTATTTCTCCCACATTCTGTTATTATATTATTTTTAATGTAAGTGGATGTAGCCACTGATCCTACATTTTTGAGGCAGATATTATATTTCAATATATATTTAAATATGGATATCTGGATATATCTCCAGAAAATGTTTTCATCAATTCATGTGAATTATGGCCAACATTTGTATCAAGTGCAACATTTTACAGTTGAAGAATTGGCTTTCTCTTTAGTTGACAGGAGATGTATCCCAAAGATAGCATACACAGCCATACCAATATATCTGTGATAAGCCCATATTGAGGACTTGTTGTGTCAATCAAGGCAAACTTGCTGTTAGAGTTTACAGAGTGTTTTATAGTCCACTTCCCATTAACTGGTTTGAGAAGGCCCTTAAAAAGGACAAACCCTTATGAAAACACAAATGGAAGTGGAGTGGAGAGGGTGAGGTTGAAGTGCCCAGAATGGTGTTCTTCAAATTCTGTTGGAGAACAACCAGACAAGATAACAGTTATAACACTTGAATTGAATCTCCTTCCCAACACTGTTCCATTGTTAACAAATTATAATCTGTAACCATGTAGGATTTAATATAAGACTTTATGCTTTGTTCTCCTGTACACCTCACATACTGCTGGTTCTCTAGTTGGCCAGTTTTCATACCTGCCAACATTGAGGTTTCAAAATATGGCAGGTTTTAGCGTGTTTTAGAACAGAGAGCAGCTGCGCACACGCCCCTTTAAACAGGCTGTGGGGTGCCGGGCTGTTGTCACAGATTGTAGGCCTGTGTAGTGTGTGGACTGTGTGTAGATTGTATTTCATAGACAATCTGGCAACTTGGGTGACATCAGACCAACACTGTATATGACAGTTATTCAAAAGAAAGGTTGAAGGAACAACAAAACAAGAGGGTGCTGGGTAATTGTCTTGCAATATGGGTGAAACCTGGGAAAGGTTTGGCCGGTTTGAGATTCATAATGAAAATTACTGCTATATTCATCCACAAAAACTTTGTATTTCTTTTGACAAAACAGTTGCTCCACTATAAACAAGAGTACGTGACAAAAAATGAAAAAGGATAACCCAGGCTCAAGTTTGAGTGTCCGTGTGTGTGCAAGAAAGAGAGGCAACAGACAGAGAATGCCATGTCTGTGTGCACACTAATAAATGTTCACATAATTCTGTCCGTGCACGTGTGCATATATGTTGATATTCATGTGCATAATACTTCACTTGTACATGAAATACCAGTTGATTTAGTTCTGCAACACTCCAGTCCATTTTGCATGTTTTGCAGGGTCACCCTGTGGCCTCATCGTTGCCTGTCTCAGCTTGTTCACCCTCCTCTACAGTCCTTGAGAAGCCCTCTCAAACTGCTGTTGCCAAAGGGGGCTGTGTGTGTGAAAACACACATCTCTCCCCAGCAGATGGTAGTTTCTCTGGCCATAGTATCCCACCAGCCAGACTGCCTTCCAGGGCTTGGCCATCTCCACAGCCAGCCCAGCAGGCTACTGGCAACACATCACCCTGCTGACAAGATCCTTTTTATGGATTAAGGGTCCGCAACACGTCTTCAAATGCAGGTCAATACCCTGCTTTCCTCTGACCACTTCAGTCCACTCTGTCCTCCACAAGCACACCAGTTGGTGACATATCTGCTGCGACAATGCAAAGATACTGTGTACTAGTTCTTTCTTCCTTCCTTCTTTTGGGTATCAAATATGAGTCGGCAGATCTCAGATGGGAGCGTTGGTGAATTGAGACAGAACTGTCTGTAGGTAGTGTTGAAATGGGCAGCTGGCCTGGCATTTTTTTTCATGTTTCCCCGCATACAGACGAGCAGACTCTGTGCATGTGCTTCCTGTCTTTTCCACTAAGCATTGTGTTTTCCTTCTGTGTGATGTGGAGAAATGAGCATTGCAGTAGCTATCAAAAAT